TCCTTCACCTCCTTGAATACACACATAATTTACGTGGCATGTGTATTCCTGTTGCAATGCCCTATTCCCAAATAAACATACTTTTCTTTTAGAGAGCCTCTCTCTGTTATTTAGATTGACAGAAATGGTGCCAGAAACAAGACCTGAAAAAATATCACTATCACAAGGAATTGGCAATCCTTGAATCTGGAGAAGTACTCATTTAAGCCATTTCAGTTCTCTGCTTCCATGGCTCACTTTTTCTGCCCTGATGAGTCTTCTCTAAGACCATGCCTCCTTCTTTATGGTAGAAGCTCTTGACTTTATTTGGGGTCTGATTTGAATAAGGAGGCTGTAAATAAAGGACTTTACATCTCTCCTGGGATTAAACAAAGACTTCTTGTCTTTTCTGGTAAATCCTTTCTGATTTCTATAGAATTTCCATTCTGCCTGTGAGGCATGTCTTTTCTGATGAATTTGCTTTTGGTCTGTGTGCCTACTTTAATATTTGTCTGATCTGCATGCATCGGTTAAAATTTATAAATACTCTTGGTCTTATTTTGGTTACATACGACTGACTTAGTCTTTTCCCTTGCTTCTTTCTGAAAACCTTCTGAGAGCAAAAATAAACATTCTAAATGATGAACGCAGGATGGCTAATTAAAAGCCACTAGGGAGGTTGCTACCATCAAATACACTGGTCCAAACTTCTGACATTCTGAGAAGATTGATAAGATGTTCTTCACTCTTGAGAGATTGATAAGTAATGTAATGGGGTTTTCTTAATTTTTCATTATTATTATTATTATTTAGAAACAGAACCTCACTGTGGCTCCCTGGCTGGAGTTCAGTGATGCAATCATAGATCATTGCAGCTTTGAACCCCTAGGTTCAAGTAGCTAGGACTATGTGTGCACACCACCCATGCCCAGCTACTTTTTTTGTTTTGTAGAGAAGGTGTCTCTTCATGTTGCTCAGGCGGTTTCAAATTCCTGGCCTCAAGAGATCCTCCTGCCTTATCCTCCCAAAGTGCAGAGATTACGGGTGAGAGCCGCTGTACTCTGCCTGGGATTTTCTTTTCTTTTCTTTTTTTTTTTTTTTTGAGACAGAGTTTCGCTCTTGTTGTTCAGGCTGGAGTGCAATGCACAATCTTGGCTCACTGCAACCTCTGGCTCCCAGGGTCAAGCAATTCTCCTGCCTCAGCCTCATAGCAGCTGGGATCACAGGCATGTGCCACAATGCCTGGCTAATTTTTGTATTTTTAGTAGAGACAGGGTTTCACCATGTTGGTCAGGCTGGTCTTGAACTCCTCACCTCAGGTAATGCATGCGCTTCGGTCTCCCAAAGTGCTGGGATTACAGGCGTGAGCCACTGCGTCCAGCTTGGGATTTTCAAACATTAAGGCATGCCAAGTTTTCTGCGACTCCAACCAGCTACATTTCTCACGCACATTTAAAAAACTGATGGGTTCATGAAACTGCTTATCAAGATCAAACAAAACAAAAATCAATTACATGAATTTGAAAAGCTGATAAAGGTATTTTTATGTCACTTATTTTTTATTGTTTGTTTATTTATTTATTTATTTAGTTTTGAAACGGAGTCTCGCTTTGACACCAGGCTGGAGTGCAGTGGCACAATCTCGGCTCACTGTAACCTCTGCCTCCTGGTTCAGTTGATTCTTCCGCCTCAGCCTCCCGAGTAGCTGGGACTGCAAGCATGCACCACCACGCCCAGCTAATTTTTTGTATTTTTTGGTAGAGACAGGGTTTCGTTATGTTGCCTAGACTGATATCAAACTCCTGGGCTTAAGTGATCTGTCCACCTTGGCCTCCCAAAGTGCTGGGATTATAGGCGTGAGCCATTGTGCCCAGCAATTTTTAAATTATTTATTTTTCCATTTCTCTTTCTTGGCATTTATGATACTTATTTGAAACTTTTTTTTTAATTTAAATGTTTTGTTTTCCAGATTTAAGATAATTTTCTTTCTTATTTTTTTTTTGAGATGGAGAGATGGAGTCTCACTGTTGTCCTGACTCAAGTGCAGTGGTGTGATCTCCCCGCTCGCTGCAACTTCTGCCTTCTGGGGTCAAGCATTTCTCTTGCTTCAGCCTCTCAAGTAGCTGGGATTACAGGCATGCACCACCACTGGCTAATTTTTGTATTTTTAGTAGAGATGGGGGTTTGACCACATAGGCCAAGCTGGTCTCGAACTCCTGACTTCAAGTGATCTGCCTGCCTCAGCCTGGGATTACAGGTGTGAGCCACTGCGCCTAGCCAAAAATTTTCTCTCTTGAACTATCTATAGTTTACAACAATCTGCTAAAGAAAAGCTGTAATACATCCATTAGATTATAGCCCTGTGCATTATTTTCAAGTTCTTGTTATCTACCTGAAGACTACATTAAATCCTGAATTCTCCTAGAGTCTTCAAATATACCCTTCTTCTATAGAATTACTAAAAATGGAAACTGCTTTGTTCCTAAAGCCCTAAAAGCTAAAACTGGATAAATTTTAAGGAACAAGCTTGTGCCTGATGTATAGGCCACACAAAAAGTTTACCAAACTGCCCAATGTCATGACTAGAAACATCCAAATTGCAAACCAGGACAAGAAGTTCTGTTTTCACATTGTAGACAGCTTTTCCCAAGACATTGGAACAAGACTCCATATCGTGAGACTCTTTCCCCCTTAATGTTACTTTTCACTTGGCAGGATAATGGTGTAATGGAAATTTTACAATCAGTAGTTTTTGCTAGAAACTCGACAGAACCTGACCTATGAGATTCTTTAGTATACATTGGTTAAATAGGAAATGTCATGGCGGTGGGGTGGGGTGCAGCGGCTCACGTCTGTAATCCCAGCACTTTGGGAGGCCGAGGCGGGTGGATCACGAGGTCAAGAGATCGAGACCATCCTGGTCAACATGGTGAAACCCTGTCTCTACTAAAAATACAAAAA